ATTTACTCAGCCCCGCCCTGCTCAGCCTCGGGAGCGGACGAATTCTCAGCTGGTGGATCGGCTGCTTTTGTCTCTTTGCCATCTTGTGGTTTAGGGTTCTCTGGGCGTCTGCGTCGGTAATTGAAGTTTCGGCGGTACCGACGTTGAGGTGGCTGCTGACCTTGGGTCTCATCTCCTTGATTTTCCTTATCCTCTTCATTGCCATCCTCTCTAGGCTGTCTTTGGCGAGGAGGGCCCCTGGAATGATCATTAGGAAAACTTAGGTACGATGAACACCAAATGACTTTTTTCAACCGGCATACGAGTGTTAATATGTACTTGGTTCAGTCAACTACAGTAAAGTTATATCTGGCCACTTGCGTGATCAAAGTGGTGTGCAGAGAGTTTAACAAAAACTAAGAGAAAACTTGGTTCATAGTTTATAAACTGGGTATGATGATTTTATACAAGGAGACAAAGTCTAAATTGAAAGATTAGTATTTAAAACTAGTTTTACACAGCCTGGCATGGTGGTACATGCCTATAATCCCAGCATTCAGGAGGCTGAGGCAGGAGGATGCTGCCAGTTCGAGGCCTGCCTAAAAATAGGAGACCCTATCTCAAAACAAACTTTACAATTAATAATCTATTTCAAAATAACTATTTACACATATAAATGGACTTTATGATAACCAAGCTTGAAAGTAGGTGCTACTAACTTTACTGAAAAATACTTGCTAAAACAAGAGGAAATCAAAACCAAAGAAAAGATGAGAGTTCACACAAATAAATACACAGCAATTTGTCATTTTGGCAGTTCCTCCAAGTTATCCCAGAAGGACTGTACACAAAAACTTGTGTGCTTGTGAACTGTATTTCCAACAGCCAGAAAGTGAAAACACAAACAGCTATCAAAACTGAGGAGAAGCTGCAATGGAACCCATGCAATGGAATGTGACTGGCTATAAAAAAAGAACCAATGCTGATATAAACATGAAAATAAAAACCTTGAAAACACTGCTACATCAAAGTGGCCAGAAACAAAGATATGTATGATTCCATACATAAAATGTCCACAGTTACATCAAGACAGTAGATTAAAGCCAGTGGGTTGTACACTTTAAAAAAACCCTGAGCCCTGTAACCCCAGCATTTGGGAGGCTAAGGCAGAAGCATTGCATTGCCCTGAGTCGGAGGCCAGCCTGAACTGCAATGAGACTGTCTCAAAAACAAAACAAAAACACCCCGAAACACCACCACCACTAAGAAACAAACCTGAAATTCAAACGGTACATTCCATCAATATATTATTTCCAATATGAATTAAAGACTCTTTTCACCTCCCAAGGAAAAGATACTAGTTTTTTTGGGGGCGGGGAGGTGCTGGTGATTAGGAAATGATACGTTCTTGTCCTTTTCCCCATTCATACTCATGGCACTTCACAAAAAGTACTAGAACCACCAAGATCATAGCTCGAGTTCACACTTACCTCTACCTCTACACAGTTTTTTAGCCTCTAAATCCTCCAAAATTCCCATCTGCTCATCTTTAACCATCTCCTTTTGAAACCCCTATCTTTTAACTCAGTTAATCAACCTTTAGCAGGAATGCTGCTTTTCCTCTGCTGTCCAACTGGTAGCTGTCCTACCTTACTATTGTGGTTTCTAAATCAGCTCTCCTAGTTTGCTTCTAAAAATTACAGGCTTTCAACCTTAAGTTGGACTCTGTAGCACTTACTATCCTTTTTCTATTGCAGTTCCAGTTAAGTTTCTAATAACCTATTTTTTTTTGTACTGGGGATCGAACTCTGGACCTTGAGCTTATGAGGCAGGCGGCAGATAACCTATTCTTTTAGATTGTTGATATGTGCTGGTATTTTCTCCCTTGGTTTTGAGTATGTGACTCAATTATTCCTTCAGTATTTTTCATTCCTTCCTTATCCCAGAGTATGAAGTTCAATATGATTCACATGACCAACCCCTACCTCCCTCTTCATCTGGATAAACCAATGCCAGACAAACCCTAAGTCTGCCCAACCTAAGTGTGGTATTCAAATGGCTGGAAAAATACAACTGTGCTAGGTGGACTCATTTTAAATTTGTAATCACTATTATTTATAAATTTTTCTATTCTCTTCTAGAAAATCTTCATTATCTTTATCCTAGGCCCCTTTACTTTTGACTCCATTTCCCTATCAAATATACTTTTAAAAAAAAAAGTATACTTTTCAGCCTATGAATGTTTTTATTTCCAATAAGCAAAAATCCTTTTGACCTCACATTTTTCCCTTTATTACCACCTATTTGTTTCCATTCCAACAAATTTCTGTCTTAGGATTCCTCTTTCAATTCATTCTTGAATTCTCACCTAACAGGATTTAATGCCCCAACTCCATGGATTACAGGGGCCACATGTTTCATTTTATTGCTCATTTAAACAGTTCCTGGTTAGAAAGCTCTACATTGTCAACCTCACCGCAAACTTTAAAGCAAAATGTGTTATTGTAGTAATTATCAGATAGTAACTATTTTATACATTTAGAAATGAGGCTATAAAGTTTAATTTCTTTGTTTCTTGGGATTGGGTCTCAGTATGTAATCCAGGCTGGCACTGCCCTGCCTACCAAGTGCTGGGATTACACAGGCATGTGCCACATGTCCAGCATAAAACAAAAGGTGAAAACTTTTGTATTGAAGGAAGCAAAGCTTTCCATAGCTCTACCTTTAAAAAAGATAAATGTTGGGGATTTAGCTTAGTGGCACCGCACCTGCCTTGCAAGGGCAAGGTCCTGAGTTCAATCCCTGGTACACAAAAAAAAAAGAAAAAAAAAAAGATAAATTAAGTGGGCCAGGGATGTGGCTCAGTGGTGTCATGCCTGCCTCGCAAGTGCAAAGTCCTAAGTTTGATCCCTACCACCCCTGCAACGACAATACTGTAAAACCAAAAGCATTCAACACCAAGAATATCTGGGCTATTTTAAAAATACCAATGAAACAAGGTAGAAATTTTAAGTATCTATAGTACAACAAAAAGGCAAATCAAAGATTCTGTCATTGGCAACCATGGACTAACGTATTGACTGCCTTGAGTGCCTACTTTAGACTTAGTTCAAGAAATGATCTTGTGGTAATACTGACTGTAGTCTTTCAATAATAATCCATGTCTAGGTTTAAAAGTTGGAGCCAGTTCAGGTCAAGAAAAACAAAACCCTATAATCTGTCAGCATTAAAAATCCTCCTCACTGGACAGGGAAGAATTTATCTATCTCCAACATGGTAACACAATCTTGTTGCACATAACTGAATCAGAAACTTCAAATTTAGTAAACCAGTTAGGGTCCTGGTTTATTTCTGTTAGCTTAGGTAGTACCATACACATCAATACTGAGAAGTGCAATCAAGGATATTAGCTGCTAATGCAAAATTCTTGATGTGCACCAAATTCTTATCTGATACTACATGGTGTTATTAGGTCCCTTATAATTCCTAAAGCTTCAATCCTTAAGAACTGCCACACTATTCTATCCTACTTTGGGACTGGAAACACTGCCTTAAGGTATACAAAAACCAAGAACTGAAATATACCTGGTTCATGGAGCTTTTTTTACTGTAATAATTATCTCTTTTTTTTTTTGGTACAGGGAATCAAACTCAGGACTTTACGCTTGCCAGGCAGGTACACCGCCACTGAGCTATATCGCCGGCCTTCTAATAATTATCTTACAATTAAGTATTTGCTATACAACAGAATCCTCTAATACTCAGGTAGGTAGTTGGCTAATATTATTCTGGGATTGGGCTCCCTTTTCCCAAAATGTATTTTTAACGGAGTGATTTCATTTTATAATTGGAGGACCAAAATGAGTACATATCTAAAATGAGAAGGGATTAATGCGAAACTATGCTGCCTTAAGAGTAAAATTTACTAATTCTTCATGTATGCCATGGTGCAGTTCAGATATTCCTAATGCTTAAAAAAGATTACCCCTGCTGGGAATTTAGCTCACTGGTGGTGTGCCTGCCTCACAAGCACAAGGTCCTAAGTTCAATCCCCAGTACCAGAAAAAAAAAAATTACCCTTACCTTTCTTGAACACTCCCATTTTAAAATAATTATGTATAAAGCAGACCTCATGTATACAAGCTGTTTTTAAACGCTGCCAGGAAAGATGCTGATGAAAGAAAATGTTAACAGATTTTTATCTCAAAAAGACTGCCAGAAATGTGATTCTGCTGAGTGCTAACATTTGAATGAGGAATTTAAAAGAAATTGGTTAATACTGGCCATACCTGCGAAATCGTGGTCTATAACCTCGATACATATTCTGTCTCACTTGTCTACCTTGTTCTCCTGCACCCTGGTTGTCAGCACCCTGAAAAAACAATAGAAATCAAACCCACTGAACTAATAACATCAAGAGTGAAAAATCCAGACAAATTCAAATCCCAAACGTAACAGTTAAAAACAAGTAATACATGCCATAGGTCCTTTTCCTTTTTGGTGAGACTTACCTCCATCACTTCTCCCTGCACAGGAGGGTTGGAATATTGTGGTCGACGCCCATAGGGTCTCCGCATGTAGTAAGGTGGGAACCTTCGCCTGCGGTAGGGCCGGCGTTGTTGGGCCTGGCCTTCAGGAGCGCTCTCCGATCCCTCATTCTTTTCCCCACTCTCACTATTCTGGTAATTCTGCTGGTAATTGCGTGGAGGACCCCTACGACGTGGATAGCGTCTATAATGGTTACGGTCTGCTGCATATTTACTGCCTTGAACTGGAACTCCACCAGGGCCTGTAACATTTGCTGCCTCCGCACCCTACAAAAGCCATTACAGATTGACAGAGACAAAGGAAATGGGGAATACTGTCAACAAACTTCACACAAAGCCAAGGAAAAAACCCAAAGAACAAAAATTAAAATGTGGGGCACGGGGTGGTGTTTGTATGGGTAAGGGTGCATAGAAATGACTAAAGATCAGCTCCTCACTGTTCTGAAGAGACTCCCCTCTAATTGTAGCCAGCACATTAGGCTTGCTGTACCTGTGTTCATGTAGTCACCTGAACACATCCATCCACATTAGAGCCACCATCCTACTGGATGAGATCTCCAAAATATTTCCATACTGAAGTCAAACCTTTACACAAAAAGTATCCTCACCTTTTCTCCTTCAACAACATCAAACTCCACAGTCTCTCCATCTCCTACACTGCGAAGGTACTTCCTGGGGTTATTCTTCTTTATGGCAGTCTAGTGATATCACATTCCAAAAATAGATTAACAGGGAAGAATAACGTTCTTTTTCATTTAAAATGTACCAGAGTCAGTGTTATTTAAGCTTGGATATATACTTATAATTTGCGTTACATAAGACCAAACTGTCAGTAAGTTCAGAAAGCAGGCACCAATGCTACCCTCAACCTCATCCAAAATACTCTAATCTTACAAGGCCCCAGTATTTTACCACTATTTACAAAACTCATTTAACACTCAAGACAGACACAACAATTTATATATATATATACACACACACATATACACATTTAAATGGTTTTCTGCAAAAGCACATATAGCTTGGAACAAAATGAAGCTACCCTTCTATCCCCCAAAGACTGCACTTATTAGTAGAAGCTAGCCCCACAGAGGGCCAGTTTAGATGACAGGCGAGTTTAGTTTTACATGCTTCAACCAACTTTGTCCCCGTTACCATATCAAACTCAATTATAAATGTCAACGAAAATCCCTTCCAACCTGTGATACTTCCATGGAAATGCATTTCATATGTATTAACTATGCCACTCTTAAGATTATCTGACTGCATGGGACTGTTGGCTATTACCTCCCCAGAATACAATCTTACGTTGTAACACTTTTAAAAGTTAAGTGACTTGCTCAAGGTCATGCAGCTAAGTGGCAGAGTGGGGACTTTCTAAATCTAGGTCTTGGGAATCCAAATCCCATATTCACTCCACATCACAGCAGTATCCATTACAGGATCACTCATGCGTTTCCATTCCAGAGGAGGGAGGAACAACCAACAAATCTGAGGCCAGTTAAGCTCTGTTGCCCAGAACTGCAGTCTGCCTGATACACCACTACTAATACCCAAGTAGCCAAAGTCCCAAGAAACAACTACATGTTGAAACCACTTCCAAAATAGAGGCAAACATTATTATTATTATTATTTTTTGGTACCGGGGATCGAACGCGGATCCTTGTGGTTGCGCAGCAGGCAGCGAACCACTGAGCTAAATCCCCGGCCCAAGGCAAACATTATTGATGACACCTTGTGGGTCAATACAAATGCAGTGAGTCAAATAATTGATCTCAGCTGTCATCTAAACTGTCACACAGTTTTCATACCTTTCATATATAGCCAACTCTCAATTACCTGCAGTCATAGGGGATAGTAGAAGTATGTATAATTAAAATCCCCAAACTCTAGTCAACATCTTTACCCCCAACTTTTCAGAGTTGCTAACAGACAGCAAGACTGATAAGCCTTGCTATCTGTTGTTCCTAAGTCTGCATATTCTTCTGAACATGCAGAACAAACACTAAGTTATTTTTATACAAATAAAAATACCAAGTTTATAAAACAAACATTTGCTTTAAAACATCTTCCGAGCAGTTTTGAATTTACATTTAGAATTTAAATGTTTCCATAATTGCATTTGACCCTTGAATTGATACATTTGATAGGGTTTTTGGAGGTACTAGAAATTAATCTGGCATCACCCCCAACTGCCAATGAATGCTGTCCTTACCACTTCAGAGAGCTACAAAGCACCAACCTATGACAACCCTTCTTAAGAAGCAGGTTGTCACCCAGGCTCATATCTGCTTGGATAAAGCTGTATGAAAAGTGACTTTTGGTTTTTGATTCCTGGATTAGTATAAAAAGTTGCTTAAAGTTTTTATATTAACCTCCAATACAATGTGATATTCCAACAATCCTGGTGAAAGGAAAACTGCACAGTACAAAAGTACATATATGAAAATGTGGTTTTTCCTAATCATGTAATACCCAGATGAGTAAATCCAATGGAGCCTATAACACACCTACATTAAAAATACTAGCTTATTTTAGCAATCATCTTAATTTCTCAGTGTCTGAACATTTTCCAAACATTTTGATTCAATGATACAAGTAGAAAATTCACCAGGTATCACTTAATGGGGTAAGTTTTTCTTCCCAAAACAATGTTAGCCAATATACAATTACACAATTTTGGTGCACTGCTTTTTCACTTAAACTATTAAGTGGTTCAAGTTTTCCAAAGCCAGCCAATTCTCCAAAGGCAAAAACAAAACCAAAAAATCCACTAGGCAGACCTATGCTGCTTTGCTAGTTTTCTATTTTTTTCAGGTTATTATGTTTTCAACTATGCCATTATAATCTGCCCTAATCACAGAGACATCTAATGGCATCTGAAAACTTCTTGCTAGTTTTTGTGTATTTATGCCAACCAACATTATTTAGTGGTTATTTGCTCATCTGGAATTAGGTATGAAAATTTAGTACAATGAGTTGAGCAAATGCAACATTTAAAAAAGGTATGGTTGGGGCTGGGGATTTAGCTCAGTGGCACCACGCCTGCCTTGCAAGTGAAAACGGTAAAAACATCAAAAAAAGCTATGGTTATTAACAAAATTCAAATTTGAAATGCTTTCAATGTACACATTTAAGCATGATATTACTCTTCAGGTAGAACTAAATAACTAGTGCTTGAACTTAACCTTTTGCAAGGAATACTAGTTGAGAAGACATCCACCTTTTTCTTAAGCCACAAGTGCAAATATCTACATAAGCACTCACCTGGTGTACAAATACATCTTCCTTGGTGTCATTCCTGCAAAACAAAACCAAGTTGAACAAGTCAGAAAACGACACAGAAAATTTCTTATCAGGGGGCCGGGGATTTAGCTCAGTGGTTTCGCCGCCTGCTGCACAAGCGCAATGACCTGAGTTCAATCTCTGGTACCAAAAAAAAAAAAAAAATTTCCTATCAGGAAAATTTGAACAAAATAAGCAAGCAAGCTGGCAAACAGCTGCAAACTCACTACGTGTAGGAGGTAACAATCCTAAGAAATCCAAGTGTAGCTGGGTTTGATAGTGCACGCTTGTAATCCTAGGATTCTGGGAGGTAGAGGCAGGAGGATCATGAGCTCAAATCCAGCCACTCTGATCAATTTACAGACTCAGCAAGACCCTGTCTCAAAATAATCAGGAAGGACTAAGGACGTAACTCAGTTCAAAGATCCTGGGTTCAATCCCCAGTAAAAGGTTGGAGACAAGAGGCTGAAGTTGACAGGCAACATACACTCTGCAGTCTTGTTCCAAAACACCAACAGAAGTGGGAATTACTTTCTCACTCCAACCTCAATTATTTCCTCTTCACCATTTCCAATTGTCAAATTTCCTTAAAGCCATAAAATTGGCCACAAAATAATCTCCTGGAATGTACAACACAAAGAATAAACCCTAATGTAGACTATGGACTTTAGGTGACAACGACAAGTCAGTGTTGGTTTGTCAATTGTAATTAATGTACCCCTCTGGTTCAAGATGCTGATGGTGGGATAAAGGGCCATATATGGGATCTCTTAACTCCCAGCTCTATTTTCCTGTAAACCTAAAACTGTTCAAAAAGAAAAAAGGAGAGAGGGGAGGCCAAAATCAAATACAAAGACAGACATCAGAATTATCCACACCACTTATGTGCTGAAGACAAATGAAACTTTTTAATAATATGTATTTCACTTTATATTAAAGACACCATTTTATATCAGCCAAGTATCACTGAAATATTTGTTTTAAGATTTTAAAATGAGAAGGCTATCTCACTTAAATAAAAAGTCACAAGTACTGGTAAACCCAGCAAATTCAATGAAAACTAAATTTAAAGCCAGGTGTAGTGGCTCACGCCTGTAATTCCAACACTCAGGAGGCTTAGGCAGGATTGCCAGCCTGAGCTATATAATGAGTTCAAGGCCAGCCTGCACTACACCTACACTACAAAGTAACATTCCGTCTCAAAAAAACCCAAAAAACAACCCACCAACCCATCCACCCACCCTGAATTTAGACCGGCTGTGTAAGAGGAAAAATAGGGGGCAAATCAACCTGTAGGTAGGAGCCAGTAGTCCTTTAATTCTAAGAATATGACATGATAAATTTACTACATAGAATCTAATGACCGATATTAAGGAACACTGAAATATAAGAGGGGTCTGACAGTTAGTTAGAAAAGCCCCAGACAGGATTACTGAAGCCTTGGACTGAGGAGCTGTGTCCTGGGGGAGATATCTGGGATGTCTTCTTGAGGCCAATGGGGAAATGTGTGCTGGGTGTGGGGATAATGCCTGAAGGCAGAGGCAGGAGTATGGCCTGCGCTATGTAGGCCTGGGCTAAGCAAGAGACCCTGTCTTTAATAAGTAATAGGCAAACAACCAGACATTGAGTGGGGAACTGACAGCTGGTCAAAAGGCCAACATTTCCCACAGAACCAGATCAGAGCTTCACTAATCAGAACAAATCTCCAACATGACTTTGTCCTACTCTGGGACTCCAATGGGAGGAACTATAAAGAACTAGGGAATGTTGGAAAGGCAAGTGAAGCTGTTCCCAAGATGGGGAGTTCAACCAGCATCAAGGGGGCTGAGCAGTGAAGCATGTGAATGACTATGGTACCATGCTGGATTTCATGTAAATAAATTTACAACTCTTTTAAAATATGCTTTAAATTCAGTAAGAAGGCAACACCCCCAGAGGACTTTTCATTACTGCTATCAATGAAAAGTAATAGTTGCCTATAAATTTATTTCAGGGTTATAAAAGAAATAGTAGAAAATTTACCAGATTTATCTAAAAGGACACCTTAAAAAGAGTGCAAGGTTGGCCACAGTACACAGTAAGATAATGTAACCTCAAAAAACAAACAGCTTCAGGGCGTGGTGGCACATGCCCGTAATCCCAGAACTCAGGAGGCTGAGGGAGGAGGATCTCCCTGAGTTCGAAGCCAGGTCAACCCCCAAACTACAAAGTGAGAGAGACCCTGTCTCAAAAAACACAAAAAAACAAAACAAAAACCAAACAGCTTAGAGATTTTGTAGGTACAAAGAAATGTGGAAACCAACGCAGACACACTAAAAATGTCACGATGGGCAAACAGCATCTACTCTTTTGTTGACACTAAAGCAGTTTATTAAGAAACAGTATGATCGGGCCAGGGATTTAGCTCAGTGGTTTCGCTGCCTGTCTTGCAAGCATAAGATCCTGAGTTCAATCCCCCGTACCAAAAAAAAAAAAAAGAAACAGTATGATCAGTGTGTATCAGAATTTCAGGAAGAAATTTAACAGTTCAGAAAATGCAGTTTCAGCTAAGATAAAATATCATAGCTTAGCTGAATGTGCTGGTGAACACATGCAATCCCAGCCAGTTATCAGGCTGAAGCAGGAGGATACTGAGTTTGAGGCCTGCCAGCCTGGGTAATTCAGCAAGATCTAACTAGATGTGTAATAGATGTGAAGCCTTGGGTTCCCCAGTACAGCAAAACAAAAACTATGGCTTTACTGGACACACCCCTGTAGGCCCAGCACTCAGTTGGCAGAACCATGAGGATCAGCAAGGGTTCAAAGCCACTGATAGTGAGACCCTATCCCAACAAATGAACAAACAAAACCTATGGCTTGGACACATTAAACCAATCTAGTTACAACTTATTAAATTACTACTCAGAACTTATTTAATTGGTAACAGGAAAATCGATTTTTAGTCCTGACTCTATTGAGAGCTGTGTAACCTCAAAAGCTGCCTCCTCACTGGATCTTTTCTCACCTGTAGGATGAGAAAAACTACACCAGAGAATAGCTTATATTACAACGGTTCCAAACACTATTTGCTCACAGTGGCTGACTTTTAACTTCATGGTTCCTGATCTTTATTACTTTGCGATTTCAAAAAGAACTAGTTCTGAAACCCTAGGAGTCCAGCCACAGAGGATAGCTATAGTATTTTCTCCAATTTTAGGAGAGAACAAGCAGCAGCAACATGGGGCTGAGGATTCAGGGATTTAGCTCAGTGGTCCCACTGTCTGCCTGGCAAGTACAAGGTCCTGAGTTCGATCCCCAGTACAATTAAAAAAAAAAAAAAGAAGTAGCAACATGAATCCTTACCCTCTGAAGCACTCAAGATTATTACATGTAATTAGATCAGGGTTTTGCAAAACGGCTTCTATGAGATCAGACAACAAAGCTTTGCAGGCATATACAGTACCTGTTGTTTATTTTTCCCCCTCTGTACAACCCCTTTAAAAAAGGTAAAAGCATTCTCAGTTCATGATGCAAAACCAGACCACGAGCGATCAGTGTAGTAACAATGGCCACCAGGTATCTTACTGAAGAGGGAAAATAATCAATTAAAATGTCACAAACAGCTCATTAAGAAACTTATTTTAAAACTTCATTACTGGAGTAATGTGGGAGGGGATGAAAGCATCCTTCAGCACTACATTCTGAGAACTAAGAACACTATTTTACTTTTACTATACTTACTGCACAGAGGTTCAGACCAGGCAGGTAGTTGCAATTCTCCTGGCCTCAGCTGCCCAGAGTGCTGAGATTACACGTGTCCCCCCCACCATCCCAGCTCAAGAGAATTTTAGAAATTGTCAAACTGCATCTCAATATCAGAAAGGGGAGTAGGAGGAGTCTCTGCCAAAGACACTTTCTAACAAGGTAAAAGATAATTACAGCTTACCTAATATCATGCTCACTGTGCTAAATTCCTGCTATGCTTGTCATAGCACAACCCATCTAAATTCAAGCACTAGTCTGGATGTTTAAACTATGTTGGACTGCCCTCCCACTCCTAAAATATAATTTTACCATATATATATCTACCTAAAATTTTATAAAATCTTTCACCAATCCACAGTACTGTCTTAAATAGGACCTACCATATGTGAGTTTATCCATATCCAAACGCTCTTATATTAATTATCGTGTATACAATACCACACTGAGCCGTTAAAATACTTTGACCCATATGTGTAAATTAATTTATAACCCTGTGGTTATAAAAAAACAAATTCCAAGATTTAACATCTATATGCTCCACAGCCTAATGTTTTGTAAGCAATTTTCCAAGCCCCACATATGGTCATAAAATTATAAATGCACTTATCTCTTTACTCTTTCCCTATTAAAAAAGAAAAAGGAAATCCTTCACACTTAGCAGACACACCCTTCTTTCCCAGTTATGGTCTACCATTACACCTTAGTCTGGATGCACTCTAGGGCTCAGACTAGAGGATAGGAAACTTCACAACTGCAGCCAGGGCATTAGGAAAGCAGGTTAAAAACACTAGTTGTTTAGTCTAGATTTTAGATCAAATGATTCTACTACTTTGATGGCAAACAGTAAGAACCACTATTACATGGAGTATCCCTGTATTAGTGACCTGATAAACACAGATGACTTCTAATATAACCTGCATATAAATCACTCCTAAGTTCTCCAGTATACCATTCTCCAATATTCTCACTGTTGCTTGCCCTAAGAATTCCAGTTCTAAACCGGGGGTGGGGTGGGGGCAATCACTCCCAGCACTCGGGATTGTTGCAAGTTTGAGACCAGCCTGGGCTACAACATAGTGAGTTCAAGGACAACCTGGACTACATAGGGAGACCCTGTCTCAAAAAAACAACAAAGAATCCCAGCTCTAAAGAAACCACCCCAATACATCCGTTAGTAGCATACCAACAAGCAGTCTTTAAGCCTTCCCTTGTATCATAGCTTTTATAGACTACCCACAACTTACATGGTTTAGATAGACCTGAGATGAAGATCAGTGATTTTTAACATTCCAAGACTCCTGGTAATCAACTTTCCACACATCTACAAACTTTCTTTTTTAACTAAGAAAGTACTAAGTATCACAGGCACTGTAGTGCCATATACAGAGTCTATTGCATCTTTTTTTTGGTACTGGGGAGGATCAAACTTGGGACTCTGTGCTTGCGAGGCAGGTGGCGGAACCACTGAGCTAAATCCCCAGCCCTCTGTTGCCTTTTTAAAATTAATGACCCTTAAAAATAATACCCATTCTTACCACACAGGCTGTATAAACCAAACAGATCCATCAGTGAGATAAAGGCTCAGTATTTTCTCCTTTTAATTCCTTAAATACTTAACACTAGGTAGTAAGAAAATCCTTTAATTTGAAATGCTGATCTGTAGGCAAAGTAGAACTTACTGCAATCCTAAACTCTTTGAAATACAATGAGAAGTAGAAAGCTTTTCAATCTGTATCTAGCAGTCAGCACACAGGAGGTCCTATGACATCTACAGAACCTAAGTCATTAAGTATCTAAGAATAGCCAGTTATGCTAGGAAACTATCTACAACTATACAGACAACAACCAAACCGAAAGTGACTAGTGTCAATTTTCAGAGAAAATACAATAGCAGTTGGTGAACACAAGCTCCAGAGTAGGAAACCTGAATTCAAATCCTGCCTCTGCCACTTACTAGCTATGTTTATGAGAGTTACTGGACCTCTTTGAGCCTCAGTAACAGCACTACTTAAAAATGCAAAAAATGGGGCCGGGGATTTAGCTCAGTGGTTCTGGCGCCTGCTGCACAAGCGTAAGGTTCAGAGTCCGATCCCCAGTACTACAAAAAAAAAAAAAAGGCAAGAACAAGTTTTCAGGGTTGTAAATGGGTACAGTGGCACCTGTCTATAATCCCAGCCACTCTGGAAGCTGATGCAGTACTCAAGATTGAGGTCATCCTGGGGAATTTAGATAGTCTCAAAATTAAAAAGGACTAGAGGTTTAGCTCAGTGATTTATAGAGCACTCCCAATTTCAATCCGAGGGGTACCAAAGGTCTAACATGTTCACAATGGAAGCCATAATTTTTACATCTTGCTGCCAGGTGACTCTGATTCTTGCCAGTGGTTCATGCATGTCTATCTGAAAAAAAATGGGTGACAATTTGACTCCAAAAAAGGGCCAAATGCGTTATGACTTTTTGCACACTCTGCACAAACCAGCTGCCTTTATGTATGTTTTAAAGAAACGTGAATATAAATTTCCATGTAATTTAATGAAATAAATATGTTGATTATTCTAATAATTTTTAATTAGTAAGAGTAGTACTCATATTTCTATTGTGGCAGTAATTACTCAAATTTCCTTAAGTTAAAATTTCAGAATGGCCGGGGATTTAGCTCAGTGGTTTCGCCGCGTGCTGCACAAGCAAAAGGACCCGAGTTCAATCCCCGGTACCAAAAAAAAAAAAAAAAGTTTAGGGCCAGGGATGTAGCTCAGTGGTTCCGCTGCCTGCCTCGCAAGCGCAAGGTCCTGAGTTCGATCCTCGGTACCAAAAAAAAAAAAAATTTTCAGAATGATTAACTTAGGCATTTTTAAGTACCCTGGAGAACAGCAAGAGCAAAACCCAATTCTGGTCACTATAAAAGATGTCTGACCTTAAAAAAAAGCTGTTGGTGATTCACGGTCATCTTTAATGAGTTTGGTGACTATAGATCAATTCTCAACAACTAATAAAAATGGAACAGTAATTTGAGAATGAGAGCCAATAAACTCGTCACATGGTTCAGTTATTTTCACCAACACACCACACAAAGGAGTAACCCAATAAATTTCTTTCTCTGAGTTCCTAGACTACATTTCAATAGAGTAAAGCAAACTATTTTAAAAGCTCTGGTTCTTACTTTAAAACATATACAATGAAAATACATAGAAGAATCTTAAAAAAAATATGTAATTCAGGATACCCATTTTTCTTTTTATTTTGGTGGTACTGGGTATTGAAATTGAGGCCACCCATGTGCTAGGCAAACATTTTCTGTTGAGTTATATCCCCAAGTTAGAGACAGGGTCTTGCTAAATTTTCCCAAGCTGGCTTTGAACTTGTGATTCTCTTGCCTCAGTCAGATTACAGGTGAAGTTTAAGTCACAACAGTCATCCCAAACACTATATTCTACCCTTTAAGCAGAAGCAGCACATTTGCCTGACTCCCTCAAGAGTCAATTGTCTCCTGCCCAATCTTCAATTTGTCCTACTACAGGAAACACATAGAATCAACTGTTATTTTCTTAACTAAGGGAACCCTTCCCTCTATTTAATTGGAATTGGATTCTATAATCTTATTAAAGAACCCCAGAATCATTAAAATGACCAGTTAGTACATTTTAATTGGTTAATTTAACAAATTAGCTGAGGTTAGGATAGTTCAAAGAAAGGACATTCAAAAGGCAACTGATATTTGCCCTGAAGGATGAGCAACTGGATTCAAAGTTAGAACAAATATTTAGTGAATGGCACCTGACACAATAAACAAAAAACTACAACATACAAAAACTACAATCTATTCACTGAAAAGGCTGCAAAGTACAGTCCCCTCTACTGTGCGCACCAGGAATACCTGACTCCACTAGGTAAAGGGTTAAAAGTTATTTTAAAGGTACAGAACAGACAATTCTCACCATCACCTGGGATTCCCGAAAAGAGTACCTAGTCCAGAGAATCTGAAGCCCAGGAGGAACTCAGGAATTTGAAAACCCTTAAATTTGAAAAACACTGGTTGAATGGTTTAGGTCAGCAATAAGACTATTAACCCAAATACCAACTAAAAACACAAAATTCTGAGATCAGTTTAAAAAATGATCACTATGGCAATCGTATAAGCACGAAAGTAAATCCCTTTCTTCCTCACTAATATCCCACTAACCAAAAACCTGAAAATGAAAATGTAGTCTTGATCAGAAAGACAAGCAGTATGACAGCTAGAAAATTCCAAAAATTCTAGGAACAAAATGTTTCTCCATAACTACAAATGTGGAGAACAAAGCACCCAAAGCTTACAAATTATTGCTTTGTGTTTCCAAAATACTGTGTGGTTTGAGTAATGCATATTTTTTTTTCATCAAGTATGTCTCTCTAAAAGACAAGTTGCCCATTTGGTGTCCACTTCACACTCGGTGTAACTCTTCAGTGTTCTTTTAAACATCTAGTTGTTTAAGGTCTTCTAAAATAAGGATGCTAAGAAAGAAAATGCTGAAATGGCGCCAAGTACAGTATCACAGCTGTAGGGCCAAGACTGCTCCTGGCATTCGCGGTGCTCTACACCCATGCAACTGCACTACTAGCCTTGGCAGCCATCTTGAAAATGATGCCCGGCTCACAAGGGAGCCCACGGAGAGTGCAGTGAGTGAGCTGCAGACACCACTGCTATCGCTACCAATTCCAAGGGCCAATCTCAAGACGCAGCTTGTCCCTCTGCCTTCAAATACCAAGCATGTGAAGTTACCAGTGTCTTCAGTCTACTCTAATAAACCACAACTTGGGCTTTAATAACTGACTCAATCAGCATGATTTTCTGACAAGGAAGTATGAGAAATAAAAATTGAGAGAATAGGACCATTTTCTTCCAAATGTATTTACTCTTGGCAAATAAAAACAGCTCTCTGATCAATGCAGTCTTAACAGAAAATTTATATGAGCTATTAAAAAGAGCACGTTCTGAAGGTTGAACAAAGGCACTATAACCTTATGGTTAAGGATAACAAAACCTTACATACTTCACAAGTCCAATCGTGCCAAAATGTTACTGAGCCTTATTAATTAGTGGCTCCTATTGCCAAATACCAATTCCAATAACATTAAAAGATAAAACATATTGTCTCATAGTTTGCCCGAACTGCTAAAGGCATGGCTCATTTGCTCTGCTTGCCTTCAACTGCTTCACAACGTAATAAAACCTTGGAGCTTGAAATTCAGACTGAGCTCCAAAACAAAACAAAGACCATCTCTAGATCTATTAACCCCTTCAGAAAAAAAAAATTAGAGTAGCACACCAAAATGCACACACACAAAAACAATACAAGTGCCCCCGAAAACGCGGCGGCTACAGCCTAGGCTCAACACAGCCCTGATCCTGGAGGAGGCGACGGACCGCGCGGTAAGCATGTAGGAGGCAGGACAGGGGTGCAGACACAGAGATCTCACCTGTTGATGAAACCATATCCGTTTCTTACATTGAACCATTTTACTGTTCCCAAAACCTTCGTTGCTGGAAAACAAAGCAGAACAACCCTCGATTACCAGTTACCCCTTAACACAAGCGGCGCCGGGGCCACCTGACAGCCTTTTCTCTACCCCGACACCGCCCTGGCCGCACCCGTGGGTGCGCGGGGAGGTGCGGAACGCCCCAAGGCAGGCCCGGGGCGCGGGCTCAAGATGGGTGTGTGCGCAGGCCGCGGCAGGGAGCACGTGAGAGGACGGGAAGCCGCCGGCCCACTCCGGCCTGCGTAGGCGGCGTGCCGCGCCCTCCGAGCACACGCGGAAGGAGCAGGGTGGGGGGGACGGAACAACGGCGTGCGGGCCGGGGCGCACGCGGCCGGAGAGCGGGTGGGGAGACGCCGCACACGCGGCCCGCAACGCGAGGCTGCAGGAGTAAGAGGCGCGGGTCTGCGGAGGGTGCGGACGGCGTGCGCGCGCCTGCCGGGGCCCGCGAGGGCGAGAGCGGCCGGGGGGAGGGGCGGCGGCCGCGCGCCGGGAGTCGGTCCCCGCTGGCCGCGCGCTCCCGCTCGCCCAGAGTCGGCTAACGGTTCGGCGGCCCGGCTTCCCCGCTGTCCCACCCCCGTGCCCGCTCGGCCCTCACCGATGACCTTCTTGTCCCCGCCGGCAGGCGCCGCCGATGTGAGGCCGCCCGGGCCGCCGCTCCCTGCGCCGCTGCCCGTGGTGCCGGGCTTGGTGTCGGCAGCGCTGAGGGCGGGGGCGGCGGGGGGGGCGGCGGGCGGCTGCTGGGTCTCGGCCTCGCTGCTCATGGTTGCGGTGATGGTGACTGGGGCCGGCTGCGGCAGCTGCGGCTCCTCCCGGGGTGTGATGGTAACTAGGCCGGCGGCGGCGGTGGGGCTGCTCAGGGCTCTCTGGGGTCCGCTCTCCGCTCCCGCTACCGATCGAACTAGCGAGAATGGCGGGACAGGCGGGATAAGCCCTACGATTGACCCGCCCTACCCATTGTTCACTGGTCAGTAGTGCTGTCAATCTCACCACCTGACTCCAATCTGTGACTTCTACTGGCTAGTCCTTTATCACTCCTCCACTCTTATTGGCCCTTAGGCAGCAAATGCTCCCGACCTACAACCGTTCCAGCCTCCGCCGCCATAGAGACCGGAACTAGAATTAGAGTAGTCACCACGAGAACCATAGAGTACCCGAGAGGACGGACAGAGAGAACGTGACTTTCACGAGGCTACTCCCTGGGCGGGCTGGCCCAACGTTCCGGGTTGGGCCCAGTCTGAAGGCATTAGCAAACATCTGGCTGGAGGTTACCTGGTCTGACATGGGGTTTACAGAGTCCCCACACTTTAGGATCATGGAGAGAGGGCTTCCCTTACTGTTTCCTCTCTCTTAAGGCCTTTACTGCGAGGAGAGAGCTGTCTTTTAATGGTCATAGACTGAGCCGAGTGTTTCGGAACGGGTTTAAACATCTGCATTCTATCAGTTTAGGGTTTTGGTGGTATAGTCGTTTAGAGGAACTACGCAGTTTCTTAGCCCCCCCCCCCCGCCCGCTCCCCGCCCGCTCCCCGCCTTGCGTATTTAAGGTAGTGTACTCCGTGGGGACCCGCCTTATGATCTATTTTACCAGGCATATTGGCCACCAATCAGATTTCATTTCGACTCATTTATTGGGCAAGCTAGATTTTATTTGCATTTTTACCCCATCCACAATCTGAAGATCACTTATCGCTACAGTTCAAACCGCAAAATTGAGTCGGCCATCTGATGTTGCTTAAATCCTCCACCCACCTTCATTCATTTCTTGTTTATCTTGTGTTTTTAAATGTAGCCCAGGCTGGCCTTGAACTCACAACCCTTATACCTTGTCCTCCTGGCCTCTTGAGTGTTGCGGTTACAGGCATGCATCACCACCAGTTCATTCATTTTTCTTTTTTTTTTTTGGTACCAGGGATCGAACTTTGGACCTTACGCTTGCGAGGTAGGCGATGAAACCACTGAGCTAAATCCCCGCCCCACCCCCTTTTTTTTGCGGAGCCAGGGATCGAACTCAGGACCTTGGCGCTTGCCAGCCAGGTGCAGCACCACAGAACTGCATCACTGGCCCCTCATTCATTATTTATTTAGCGTCTACTACTGATTGAGAATAGAATAGTTTGTGAGTCAGTTTCTGCCTTCTAAGGGAAGGCCCGACGCTCTACATGATGCTGTACATGCCAGAGCTGCAAAAGCACAACACGTTTGGGGAGTGGAAACAGGAAGAAGGTTAAGTGCTGACTTTTCTGGCAAACAGCTATTTACGATAAGGCCTAAAGCCAAGAAGGGATATGGTCTCAGGGGATACGCAAATAAAATAGTTTAATAAGATTAGAATGAGGGCCTGGGATTTAGATCAGTGGTTTCACCGCCTGCTGCGCCTGCGCAAGCGCAAGGACCCCCCCAGTTTGATCCCCGGTTCCAAAAAAAAAAGATTAGAATGAAAGCTCCGCTTGATAGCCCAGGTCCATAATGCCAGGACTCTGGGAGGCTGAGGCAGGACGATAGCAAGTTCTAGTCCAGCCTGGGTAAATCAGCCAGACCCTACCTCAAAGTAAAACTAAAAGATGGCTAGGGATGTTGCTCAGTGCAAAAGCCCTGGGTTCAATCCTCATTACAAAAATATCGGGTCCAGTGATTTAGCCCAGCCACACCGCACCTGCCTCGCAAGCTCAAGGTCCTGAGTTCCATCCCCGGTACCAAAAAAACAAAACAAAAATTACAAAAATATCATTACCCAGTTACTTCATTCACTTCTTTTCAAGCCAAAAATATGAGGATGAGCTCATGTCAGACTACTTTCCTCCTTATTCCTGATGCACCACAGGATCAACAGTTCAAAAAGAAATTCATCTCCTGTCCTAACTAGTCCAGACTTTTGCCGAATCCCTCCACCACCCTAAGAGACCACCTGCTATCCAGTGATCACACTACACCTAATTCCAGTTGCCTGCCTTTAAATGATGTAAGGGGCAAGAGGATTCATCCCAAGAATGTCTTTTCTAAAATAACTTTCACTCTGTCCTAAAAACACAGTTCCGTCTTCCCTGTCCTGATCTGGCTAATTCCAAACAGTCCATCAATACTTAGCTTAGATGTCACCCCTTTCAAGAATAATTTCTTTGGGCTGGGGATTTAGCTCAGTGGTTCCACCACCTGCCTTGCAAGCGCAAGGACCCGAGTTTGATCCCCAGTACCAAAAAAAAAATGAATAATTTCTTGGATTTCTTTTTCTCATCTTATCTCTCCACTGTGTTCCCACGACATCTTGTACACACCACCATCATCCCCTCATTCATGCAACACATATTCATGGAGCACCTATTAGATATTAGGTGCTGGGGACACAGCTGGGTTTTTTTGTTTTATTTTTTAAAAACTCAAACAAAAAACCCACCAGACCTGCGTTCAGAAGATTGAGGCAGGAGGACTGTGAGTTTGAAGCCAGCCTGGACTATAACGCTGTTTCAAAAAACAAAATCACCGTCACCAACAGACCCCATTTCCTGCCCTCATAAAGGCACACATTCCAATACTGCCTTGATTTGGAGCTCCGCCTGTCTCCTCTTACTCATTTGAGCAGCTCTATTGCATAGGTCAGTGACTGGCAGGGTTCCAGGCCTAACTGAATTTGGCTGAATAGCTCATCCCAAGGATGTCAGCTTGGGGTCACAGCGGTTCATCCTCCTTCCCATCCTTGAACAATCCCACCTATCCAGTTAAAAGATTTCTCCTCCAGTAGAAGAGTTCTTTCTGTTGTGTCCTCTGATGCCTATTCATACGGGGTTACAAATACCTACACATTGGCCCTTTGTGTATTTCACCACTGCCCTTCCTCCCCATATATGAAAAGGGCACCTATAACTGGCTCTATTGTCATGGAACTCAGTGTTACCTCTGCTACTGCAGAAATTAGACAGCGTCTCTGACCATAAGATGGGGGAGAGTGGGAAGGGGACAACACAAAAAACACTTTATGAGAGGGTCATCAAGAATTTTCTTCTTTCCCTCTTTACACTCAGTGGCATTTTTTTTATAATGGGCTAATTCCTTTCAAAAGTAATAGTTTCCAAGACACATTACTGTCTACAAGTTACCTCATATCTATTCCCTTGACACTTTCAATAATGCTGAGGTAAATAGATGTTAATATACCCATTTTATAGATGAGAAAACTGGGGCTATAAACAGGGAACTTTTTTGAGTCTTATTTTTTAACTTGTAGTCTTCCCGTGTGAGCCACCTAAGTGCTGTGATTACAGGTATTTGCCACTGCACCTGCCTAGAAGTTAATTTAAGACCTCCACTGTTTAAAAATGATCCTAGACTTAAAAGATCTTTTTTGGGTACTGGGGATAGAACTCTGGTCCTTGCGCTTGCAAGGCAGGCAGCAGAACCACTGAGCTAAATCCCCGGCCCTAAAAGATTTTTGAGTAAATGATTCCCATTTTATCAGGATCAAGACACATTCTACTTGGGCCTGCTGGCTCAGGCCTGTAATCCCAGCACTCTGGGAGGGAGGCTGAGGCAGGAGAATTACAAGTTTGGGCCCAGTAGTTTGGTAACTTAGTGAGACCGTCTCAAAATTAAAAATAAAGTGGGGAGGGGATGTGCAGAGATATAGCTCAGTGTCAGTTTCTGGGTTCCACCTCCACTGCCAAGAAGGGGGTGGGGAAAGGGTTGCACGAGGTTTTCTCCCATTCCCAAACATCCCAAGTTAGTGACCCTTTCCCTGCAGGCTAGACTTGAACAAATTAAACCAATGGAAATGTACTTGGAATAAATAGTGGTATAAGACCCTGGGGCTTTGCCTTCCTTGCCAATCAACGTGAACCTAAGAGGGGATTGCTAGAATTGCTTGCAAGTCTGAGGCATCAACTACACAAAGCAAGTATTTGACTCTAGTTCATTACTGGTCTCCAGAAGAATCAGTCTAAATGGAAGTTGAGGGGTGAAGAGACATTTAAAACACAAAGAATGAGGACCAGGGATTTAGCTCAGTGGTGCCACTGCTGCCTGCCTAGCAAGCTCAAGGTGCTGAGTTCAATCCCCAGAACACCAACAAAAAAACCACCCCCCAAAAACCAAAGAATGAAACAAAATTAACACACACACACATACAAAAACCTTTATTTACAATTAAAAACTTAAATGCACACACTCTTGGTTCGGAGTCTGTGATATTTCCCCAGCAGGCAGGAATTCAAACACAGGAGCCAGTTCAGCTTATCTGACTCAGGAAAGTCACGGACAGCAAGGGAAGGCCTACAATGGCAGAGACACGGAGGTCAGTGAGCGATAGGAGATAAGCAGCTCAAAGGAACCAGAAGGGAATATTCCAGGAGACAATGCTCCTACTTTCCTTTACACTTTTTTTTTTTTTTTGGTACCAGGGATTGAACTCGGGTCCTTGCGATTGTGTAACAGGCGGCAAAACCACTGAGCTAAATCCCCGGCCCTCCTTTACACTCTTAACCCTCTTCCTCCCAAAGAGTGGAACTAGTCTGAGTCTTACCATAGGGTAGACTTTTGCTTCTCCAGAGCCAAGAGAAGACATATTTTACATGAATACTAAGAAACTAACATCTATGGCCAAGCATGTTGTCTCATTTAATATTTACCCTTTATAACTCTTTGCGGTATCCATTCTCTCTACACAAATGAGCAAATTAGGATTCCAAGGGGTTTCCTGGCTTGACTAAGGTCCCAGAGTTAGACAGCATTGGGATTTCCTGGTCTACTTGGCTCCAAGGCCTGTCCCTTTTGTCAGGCTTTGATGACTTTCCCTGGAGCTCCAGAACAAAGAGCAATCCTTGCGCATGGCAGGTTTTAGTTCCAGGGGTACAAAAAGTAAAGTTCACTTTCTCTGTTTATGGCCTTGGAGCTGGTCATACTAAAAGAGCAATTTGAGTATACTCAAGATATTATTCTGAGGCAGGAGTATCACCATGAGTTTGAGGCCAGCCCGAAGTGCATACCTCCTCCCACCATTCCCCAAATGTGGCCACATACTCCCTCTGGGAGACAGTGAGTTTTGGTGTCACATTGCAGTCTCAGAGGTTTAACCCTGGACCCTCGACAAAAGTATATAAAAATGCATCAATGCACTTTATAAATTGCATGGTGTACCAAAACCTAATGTCTACTCTACCACACAGTGTTAGTCAACATGGACCCTGCTTCAAGTTCTCAGTCCAAATGGGGAAAAATAAGAACCAAGATATATCATGTAAAGGTACAAGTTTCAAATGATAAATGTGAATGCATTGTATACCTAAAATGTACCAATGAAAGAATTTAAGGGGAAAAAAAAGTTCTCAGTCTGGAGAAAAGCAGACCAACACATTTGTGATATGTTGTGCTAAATGCTGGGATAGGAGAAACCACTGACCCAGCCTGGATCTGGCAAGGAAGAGAGGGAGGGACCTGGGGAGAATTTATAAACTGATATTAGCCATAGTTATAGGCATGCTCCTGGGAGGGGCTGGAATTAGAATTAAAACTACATATATAATGCAGTATGTATTTGTTTAAGGTACATGCTCAATGTAGAAAATTCAAGCACAGATAGGACAGTATAAACTGACAAAGTCTGCTGTCTTTACTCTGCAGAAGACTCTATTAGCAGTCTGCCATTTATCATTGCTGAACTTTCTGAAATTGCTATTTAATATAAACAGTGCCATGCATACACAATGTACTACATCCTGACTGTCACTTAATTTACTTTAGAAGTCTTGGCCACACGTAAAGATCTACTTCTTTCTTTTTGTTAAAGTGAAATAGTGTGCCACTGAAGAGACACACTTCCACGTAAGACCTGGTTTCAATACAGGCAGCTTTGCCTCTGGACTGGACTGGAATGGACTGGACTGGAGCCAGACATTCTCTCTTTCCCTTTCTTTTTAGCTGGCAGAGCTTCTGACTTTCAGAGCAGGGGACAAACAGTGCCACACACCCAACAGACATACAAATATGAGCTGCCAAATCTCACAGGGGCCTCCAGGGTGTTCCCTAGACCCCTATTTTCATGTGGATCTCTTCTCTTTGCCTAGACTACTGCAGTGACTTCTAGCCTCCAGCCCATCTTCCACATTACTGCTCAAATCTTCTTCTGAAAAAGATAATTCAACTGTAAGTTTCTTCTCTAAATCCTTCAGTGGCTCCTACTGGCTTGGTTCTTTTTGGAGGGTCAGGACTCCCTTTGAGAACCTCAGGACACAGTAAGATTTCCTTGCTGGACAGAATTTATTGCCTGACGCTCATCCCCTGCCCTCACAATAGCATATGAGGTGCTGAGCCTGGCACTGGCTCTCAGAACTGGTCTTGGCCTCTTTCCACCATTTGCTTTTCCTATCTTCCCCCTTTGGCCATGTTGAATTACTTGTAGCTTTGCCTACACTTCCTCCTGTCTCCTGCTCTTATGCCTTTGCACACTCTTCTGCATGGAATGCCCTCCCAAACTTAGCTACCAACATGTTCTATTCTTTCTTATACTCTTGTACAGCTTCAGTGTTCTCAAGCCACTCCAAGCAGACCCAGGCCTTCACATCTTCCTTACCATGTTCTATAACCTCCAATCCAGTGCTTTTTTGTATTTTCACTGGCAGTTTTCCCAAGTGACTAAGCTCCTTGAAGGAAGGAATGGCACTCCTCAAATTTGTAGCCTCATACGAAGGACCTATTCTAATTATTATTATTATTATTTTTATTTTTAAGATAGGGTCTTGGTATATAATTTAGGCTGGCCTCAAACTCATGGCAATCCTCCTGCCTCAGGCTCCCAGATGCTGGGATTACAAGCATGCACCACCACACCACGGGGACCTATTCTAATTAATTAATTCTTATTTGTGGAATGAATGGAGAACCAACACAACTGCCACCGACATCTTTCATAACCTTCCCAATAGGACTATATCACATCTCCAGGTACACTGGTATCTTGGTTCCTGAACTTGATTCATGATTCTGGAAAAGATGGCCACGCATGTTTGTGTAGGAAAGACGTTTGTTACCTGATGCAGAGTTCACAAACAAAAACAAAATTCTGTTGAACGCTTCTGTTTGTGAACCAAACTGTTCACAAACAAAAGCGTTTGTGAACTGAGGTACCACTTAAATTCCAGAATGGGAGTGTATCCTAGGCCCCACAACTGTTACAATATCTGCCGTCCAAAAGTACAGTTCATTTTTTATATATAATCACTATTGAAATTTTAATATTACCTTGCAATAAGCTTTAATAACTATAAAATTATGCACGTGCTAGTTATATATATTTTCCTAAGATGCAAATATTAAAATAAAATATAGTCATAGCCATGTTTTCCACAATTCTTTGATAAGCAGGGAAAAAGATACCTGGGCATTAGTAGATTTAACAAGCACCCCCAAATGATTCTCATCTGTAGAATTTAGGCAACAGTAAACTAAGGAAAGCTTTCTACTACTTAGCAGCTCTTAGAATCACAGGACAGGGGCAATGTGTCAGACTGGCAGGGCTGCCTGAGCTTACAAGGAGTCCCTTTTCCAGGAGACTCTAGGCTTCCAGATATATGTAAGTAGCAAAGAACCTCATTCAGACTACAGTAGGAGGATCCTCAGGGCTGAGGTTTGTTTATGCTATCTATCTTAAGTCCTGAGATACATCTAGAACTATACAGGAAATGTCATTTTTCTTTCTTTTTTTCTTTTGGTGTTTTGCGACAGGGTTTCTCTATGTAGTTCAGGCCAGCCTTGAACTCACTATGTAGGCCAGGCTGGTCTCAAACTCATGGTAGTCCTCCTGCCCCAGCCTCCTGAGTACTGGGATTACAGTCGTGTGACACCACACACAGCAGGAAACTTCATTTTCAACAAAACCAAAGGCAGAACATAGGAAGGTAGAACACAAGAGTTCTAGAAGTAAGTGCTCTATCAGGAGGCACAGCTAATCAGTGGCCTCACTTGCCTTCTATCTCCTTCCTAGCTCCTTCATCTCATAGTGCTTGGGCATAAGGGCTGAGCTTCATGATGAGGTGATACCTTGATTCAAATACAATGGGTTGTTTCTGGGCCACCAAGAAATTATCTCCTCCCAAGTGTTTTGTTTGGAATATGGTGGGTTCTCAAAGCAAAGAGACCCTGCTATTCCCATATACTGAGCTTGCCACTCAGTGTCTGTACCAGTATCAGCTGGGAGCTGGTCAGAAAAGCAAAACCTCAGCTTTCACCCAGACTCACTGAACTAGGAGCACCTTTTAAATAAATTCTCTTGGAAATTTATATGTACATTAAAGTATGAGAAATATTGCCCAATAGGGCTTAAAATCATCTATTGTCACTGTTAACCATTATTCTGTGTAAAACAAACCTAAATATATGGAACACTCCTATAAGATTAGAGATGCTTATAACTTACAGTTGACAAGAAAAATGATGGGATGAGATCATCTGCTCCGTCCCCTGCCCCCAAAAGTAACCAGGTCTTTCCCTCAGGTTCTCTTAAATTTCCCCATGCAGAAATCCAAAGCAGGGGAACCATTTTTTCTTTATATTAGACTGCCACCTAGGTTCCTCAACACCACCTTTCTTTTTATCTGTTCTTTTTCCCCTTAAAACCTATGATGGAGGTTTCTGATAAAGACCTATATAATCTCACCACTCTGGGAGGCTGAGGCAGGAGGATTGCTGAGTTTAAGCCCAACCTGGGCAATTTAGCAAGACCTTGTGTCAAAAAAAGAAAAAAAAAAAAAAATTTTTTTAAAAAGGCCTAGGGGGTGGGGGCGGCCGGGAATTTAGCTCAGTGGTTCTACCACCTGCCTCAAAAGCAGAAGGATCTGAGTTCGATCCCTGGTACCAAAAAAAAGAGGCTGGGGATTTAGCTCAGTGCAAAAGCCTTAGGTTCAATACCAAGTATCAAAACATAAATAAATTTTTGAAAAAGGGACTAGGGATGTAGCTCAGTGCAAAGTACCTGGGTTCAATCCCTAGCACCACAAATCAAAACAACAATTTTTTTTTTTTTGCAGTGCTGGGGATTGGACCCAAGGCCCTATGTATGCATCTATCCTAGGCAAGCGCTCTGCCACTGAGCTACACACACAGCCCCTCAAGCAAAACTCTTTTAAAAAAACTTTTTATTGGTATACAAGTGTTTGCAGTACATGACATTTATATTCATTCTGGGGAACTAGTATATATATATAAATAATATATCTTGATAATTTTTTATCCCTTTTCTCCTGCTCCTTTCCCTCATCTTCTTCCCTTTCTCAAAAAGTACATATTGGGGCCGGGGATTTAGCTCAGTGGTTCCGGCGCCTGCCTCGCAAGCGCAAGGTCCTGAGTTCGATCCCTGGTACCAAAAAAAAAAAAAAAAAGTAAATATCACATGATTTTTCTTATATGAGAAACCCCAAATATAAATTAAAGAGTAAAGTAAAGGAAGACTTTTTGTGTTTTTTGGTTTTGTTTTATTTTTGAGACAGGGTCTCATTATGTAGTTCAAGGTGGCCTTGAACTCATGGTGATCCTCCTGCCTCAGCTTCCTGTGTGCTGGGACTACAGGAGTATGCCACCACGCCTGGCTAAAGGCAGACTTTTTGGTCAGGTGAAATTCTTCTTTTTCTTGGTACCGGGGATCGAACTTGGGACCTTGCGCTGGCGAGGCAGGTGGCAGAACCACTGTGCTAAATCCCTGGCCCTGAAATTCTTAATTTAATATTTGGACATAAGAAGTACACAATAAATGATAGCTGCTTTTAATATAGTGACCCTAAGTATTAGCTGTTGGATACAATATCTTGAGCAAGTTATCGTTAGGAGTCTGAATTGGAGGGAACATGAGTTTACAGCTCACTGTCTGACACAGCAGCCACAAATAACTCTTTAAAATTAAAATTTGAAAATACTAAACATTAAGTTCTTCAGTCACACATTTCCCTTCAGCCCCTCCGAGCCACATTTCAAGTGCTCAAATGTCACATGTGGCTGGCAGCTACCATATTGGGCAGTGCAGACAAGGAGGAATTCCATACTACAGAAAGGACTATCTGCTGGGCAGTCTTGGTGTAGGGGCTTCTGGAAGGTGAAAAGGCCACCTGTGGAATTTATTCTGCTTGGGTTGCAGGCTGACAAGAGGAGACTTCATGGGGACAAGAATTCACGTGACTTTTTCTAATAGTGGGACAAGAAGAGCAGGTTAACGATCTTCACCCTCCAAAATAAACCCTCAACATGGACTTCTGTAACTTTCTGGAAAGGACTCAAACATATAGAAAAGAAGCATCAATGTAAAGAACCTCTAAACTTTATTCTTTTTGTTATCTTCTGAACTCCAGTAATGATCAATGGTTAATCTTGAGAAGGAAAAGGACCCATGAGCTCAAATGGAGTTACAGCAAAGAAATGAGTGGGAAAGGAAGGGAATGGACAGCAGCTATTGAAAGGGAAGAACAGGGGCCCCAGGTACTGGCGAAAGGAAGGTTAGGGTGTCAACTGGGTCTGAGAAGGGACCATTTGGCTGGACAAGGTCCGCATGCAGCTCCCAGCACACACTTGTGCATTCCTGCCCCAGCATTTGCTCACACCAGTCCCTGCCTAAAATGCCTGACATTCTCCCTCTCTGCTCTCTCATGGAATACATTTTTACTAAATGCCTATAAGTGCCAGATGCTCTGAATACAAAGTATGTCAGAGATGAAGGTCTGTACAGTCATTAAAATGGACTGGTATTTCACTAGATCTCCATTTGGCATAAAAGATTAGGGTTCTATCTTACACCACTCAGAAAAATAAATTCTAGATAATTTGTAACTATCAAATAAAACTGCAGAGTTCGATCCCTGGTACCAAAAAAACCCACCAAAACTATAGAAATACTCAAAAGAATGCAGAAGATATTATGATCTAAGGTAGTGACTTCTTACACAAGACAAAGCAGAAAAGCCATAAGGAACTGATAATTTTTACCACATCAAAATTTAGACTTTCTGCCTAAAAGAGGACATCAAACTTTAAGTAACACACAGTGCCAGCTTTTGCTACAAATGTATTCTGGAGAATGCAGCCACACAGCACATAAAACAAAGATCTCAAAATGTATGGTTATTAAAACATTAATGAAAAGGTAAAATAAACTATATGGCACAAATGTCTTATAAAATACATCAGTTCTGTTTTGTTTTTATAAGAAGAGATAGTTTTACATGAAGAAAGAAGAGGCTTCAAGACATAATGCCAAAATATTTTTTAAAAAAGGGCCGGGGATTTAGCTCAGTGGTTCCACCGCGTGCCTCACAAGCACCAAAAAAAAAAAGAATATAGTGCTGGGCATGGTGGCACATGCCTGTAATCCCAGCACTTGAAAGGCTGAGGCAGGAGGATCGTCATGAGTTTGAGGCTACCCTGGGCTACATGTTGAGTAGTTCACGGACAACCTGAACTACATAGCAAAACCCAGTCTCAAAAAACAAAACAAACAAACAAACAAACAAAAGGAATATAGTATGATGTCATTTAGGAAAAACAAATCCTCTTAAAATTAGATGGGCAGGGCCGGGGATTTAGTTCAGTGGTTTCCCCGCCTGCTGCACAAGTGCAGGGACCCGAGTTCGATCCCCGGTACCAAAAAAAAAAAAATTAGATGGGCAAAGAAAATGTCCTGATGAACATATATCAGACTGGTGGTGGGGTATTATCAAGGGGCCTTTCACTTTATCTCTTTGGTGTGAAAGTTTTCATAAATAAATCATACTATATTACTTGTGTAATTAAAAGTAAAACAATCAAGTAAAGTATAGGAACATTGTAACTTCTCTTAAATTTATCCCATCTATCTATGTATCAATCACATTTTGAGAAGGGGCCTTACAATGTCACCCAGGCTAGTCTTGATGTGGTAGGCTCAAGTAATCCTCCTGCCTCGGCCCCTTAAGTAGCTGCAAATGTAAGAGTGCTGTGTGCCATCTCACATGGCTAGGATCTTTTTTTTGTTTGTTTTTAAAGCTATAACTTTGAGGACAACTGGGAAGTTCAACCATGTACTATACAGTAGATAATCATATTGTGGTTATGTAAAATATAATTATTTTCAAGAGTTCCTTCCTGAAGTATTTAGGGATAAAAAAGTCTACAAGAAGTCTACAATTTCAGAATTGGAAAGAAAGAGATAAAGGAAAGAGGAAGGAGGGAGGGAAGAGGGGCAAGCCACAACAAATATCAAGACAAAATGATAGCACAAAAATGCTAATCACTGGTGATCTGGGTGGAAGGTACAGTGTTCCTGTAGCGTGCTGCTCAGCACTGAGAAGGCAGTGGCAAGGACAGGTAGGAAAGGAGTCCTGTAGGCTGAGCAATGTGAGCATCTGCTTATAAGGGTAGCAAACACAAAGTCAGGGCTTGGAGTTGTAGTGTCAGTTCTAAAGAGAGGTGTGGCAGATGTGTCTCCTGGTTGCCCAGACTAGTCCCACTAGAGTTAACGCAGGACTGAAGCCAGCTACTTCTACAGTAGTGGTTTACTGAATGGAATTAGTTTGACAGTACTGTGAGAAACTGCCCAAGTGGTTTTTAGGTTGCTACACTATGCAGTGGTAGAAAGTAAAGTGCTTTTATAACCTTTTATCTTTTGATCCTTACAATGACTATATATAAGTAAGTATTCACTCCTTTTGACAGATGAGGAAACAGGCTGAGAGAAAAGAGTAATTTCTCTATGGTTATAGAGAGAGGAAACAGGCTCAATCTCATGTCCTTGAGTCTAAAGTTCTTTCCACTAGAACATGCTGTCTTCTCTAGGGTGTGATTCCTAACCCATGGGAGAAAGGCACACTTACCTGACTCATGATTCGGTCTTGGTTGGGACTACATCTCCCCACACTGTGAGATTACCACAGGCAACTTGGGCTTATTGTTGGGGCCTGTGGGAACATTCTAGAAAAGAAAGCACATAGAGACTCATCTACTCGGGCACTTGGGTCACTCCCTCATTGAGCCTTCACCAATGCCTGCGAGCCAGAGCCCACACACAGACTGACAGGACAGCACTTGTCCTAGCAGACAGGAAAAGCATATATGTAATACAGATCAAAGAGAAAAATGTAAAACACTCAGAAAATATTAAGCCTTGATACATAACAATAATAATAATAAGGTATGAGAGAGTTGGGAAGGGGCATATGAGTAATTAAGTAGTGTTGAAAGAGAGCAAGGAAGGGGAATGCTGAGTTGGGCTAAAAGGATAAATGGGATCCCACCAGAAGGAAAAGAAGAGCATTCCAGGCAGGGGATACAACATGAGTAGACTCAAGGGCAGGAACAAGCAGGAGGCAGGTACATGAATAGTGTGTTTAAACAAGAGTGAGGAGCCCAACATGGCTGAAATACAAGGAGGCAATGGCAGAAGGGGGCACAGAAAGGCAGGAGTCAAATCATGAAGGATTCTGAATGCAGTGCTAAGGGCTGGAGTTTTATTAAGTAGGTGAAGGGGTCCTTAGAGGCTCAGTGTGGATGCAGAGGTTAACTTACAGAGCCAAGAACACTTGAGAGGCACGTGGTCTCTCGTCCTTTCCGAGGGAGACTGGACCTAACCATCTGGAGCCCATGTACTCTCTTCCAGCTCTTCACTGCTAGTCAGATAGTACCAGACCAGAAAGGCTGAGAAAGAGAACATCCAAGCAGGACTTACCTCAATCTTTCTCATCACTAGAAGTCCATCAATGATTTTTCCTGCAGGAAGAATATGAGGTAATTTTATTTTTCTCATTTGCATAGCACTGTCCAGCTCCCAGTGCCCATTGTTTTTTGTCTGGTTTGTTTTTTTGAGTCAGGAGCTCATGACAGTGCCCAAGCTGGCCTCCAACTTATGATCCGCCTGCTTCCTGAGTGCTGGGATCACAGGTGTGCACTACAATGCTCAGCTTCAATACCTATTCTTAGTTGTTATCTCACTAGATCCTCCTACTAATTTCAAGAAATTGAGGTTCAGTGAGGTGCAATGACTTGCCCAAGGTCACAAGTTTAAGCTGTTGATTTAGTGACCAAGCTTAGGTTTGACCAATTCCAAAGCCTCCCTGTACCATGCTGCCTCTGTGGCATTTCTTTGGTGCTATAATCTCATTTTCCCTTAGAATACATATTACCAAAGTACTTACATAGTAGACCAGATGGCCCCTGGTCCTTCTATTGCTATAACCACACATCTTCCCCACCCCCTCACCACTTCTATCTTCCCACTACTACCTAGAGCAGTGGTAATGAACCTATGGCACGTGTGCCACAGCAGGCTGCTTGTATCATTGAAAGCTCTAAAAGGTTCACCATCACCAACCTAGAGCATTTCACCAGCTGAACACTCCTAGTGAGAGTCTGGGGACTGGATCTTCTGGAAACCTCACTCCCAAGCAACTGGGGCCTGGACAATGAGACAGGAGTAGGACTTACCGAACACTACGTGCTTCCCATCCAGCCAATCGCACTTCGAGCAGGTGATAAAGAACTGACAGCCATTTGTACTGGGACCACTGTTTGCCTGACAGAAACCAGATATACTTGTAGTAAGCTTCCCTGGCCATGTGAGCTGAAGGGCAAGATTCCCAAGAATCTGTAGCCCTGACTCCTCCATGCATTCTTCCTATAAACCTGACTGAGCAACTCTTATGAGCCAGGTCCTAGACAGGGACACAAGGATACAGAGATGAACAGAACGCATAGGACCACTAGTTTTTAGATGCCAGATCCTTTAGTAAATGTACATTTCCCCTACAATGTGAGTTTTTATAATGGGAACAATTCTTTATGGGATATGATGTGGTGTATTTCATCCAAAACTGATTATAACTGAATTATAGTTACAAATTAGCAACCATCTGGGGAAAGACCTGTTGCCTATGCAATAAGCTGTTTTATCTAAACGGCTTTGTACTGTATTATAAAAATAGTTATAAAAAAGATATGAAGGTATAAGAAACTGCAAAGCTAGTTTCCACCCAAAACTTTCTATTATTACATTTTACGGGGAAAAGGATTTTTTAAACTAAAAATCCTTTTCCTCCCTTGAATTTGTTTTTATTTGTTTTTTTTTTTTTTGGTACCGGGGATTGAACTTGGAACCTTGCGCTTGTGAGGCAGGCGGCAGAACCACTGAGCTAAATCCCAGGCCCAGTTGAATTTGTTTTTAAAGCATTATATGTAATAATGTATAAAAGAACAGGCTATTATAACAGAGTGATACTTTGCAAAGAACATTTAACTTTCACTTGAAGTCTACTTTTGTACATTTATACTGACAGCAATAAACTGCCTTTGATAGCCTAAATTCAGGCTTTCATACATCATTAAACTCCACTTTCATTAGTAGTACCTTACAAAAGTGTCGGTGTAATTATGTGAAGATTTTATTGTATATTTTGGGAAAAAATGAGTAGAAAATGGAAAACAGGAAATGCTATTACTACTACTAAAGTAGTAGTAGAAATTGCAAAAAATTAAAACTACTGCAACAAAACTAGAACTTATAATGGGTAGTTCACTAGTCTTAATCAGATGCTTAGTGGTTGATTCTATATTGAATCATGAAGTAAAAAATGTGTATAAGATACTAGCAATACAATGTCTAGGGATGATCTCTGATTAGGGATTTTATATTATACTTTAGGACTATCCCATGTAACATGAGGCTATTTTTGGCTTTTATAAGATGGAGTAAAAAAAGGCTATTTTTGGTGTTCGTACAGAATGAAATTAAGGGAGTACCTGAACTGGCTAGTGTAGAACTTAAGGGATAGAATTCCCAGGGACCCTAATTCCATTTGTCTTTATTTTTCTGCTCATGAATAATCCCTTATAAACTCACAGTGATCCTCCTCCCTCAGCCTCCCAAGTGCTGGGATTCCAGGTGTATGCCACCACACCTGGCACAGTATATAATGATCACGGGGAGTTGGTACATGTACGTAACACATCTTAACTCTTTATGCCCCCTTCTTGTCTCCTCCTTGATCTCTTGGACCTCTTCCCACTTGAAAAGACCTATCTCTGTCTATTACCTATCTTTTTGTTTAATTATTAGGGCAGGCTCCTAAATGGTTTCCCTGCTCCAGCTTCTCCATCCTCACATGCCGCTAACATGGGAGAGAGGGTCTTCATTCTAAAACACAAAGTTGATCAACCCTGTTCCAAAAAGTGTAATATGGCTCTCCAAAACCTATGAAAGTCCACACCTCTCACCCTTTTTCTGGCATTTGAATCCTTTCAGGAGTTAGACCCACTTGTCCCTTCAGTTGACTGGGCATTCCCTCCCCCATACACATCCTATGTTCTCATCATCTTCGTCACTTTTTGTCCTTTAATAAAACACCTTCCTACTGCAAGGGTATAGGTCTTGTTTACTGGACATGCAATGCTCTTTCTTCCCATGTCATCTGGTATAGAATCCCTTTAAAAACTCAAATATTCTTCCCTTTGTGAAGGCTTCTCCACAGCAATCACTACCACTCCTCTGGGTCCTCACAGTCCTTCCATGTATACTGAGGAGCCCTCAGCCTAACATACTGATGGCACCAACTATGCCACACTGGCTGGTTTATTTTGCACGTGTGTTTCTCATTAGATGTTAAGTGTCACAATGGCAGGGATCATGTTTGTATCCTTTATGCTTTACCATAACGCTGAAACAGAGTAGCTATGAGCAAATCTCTACATAATGAATGCCTAAAGGGATGAGTGAAGAGTGAGCATGTAGGGCCGGGGATTTAGCTCAGTGGTTTCGCCGCCTGCTGTGCAAGTACAAGGACCCGAGTTCGATCCCCGGTACCAAAAAAAAAAAAAAAAGACTGAGCATGTAGGACAGATCATGTGCATGCAAATATTGTGGCCAGGGAAGGGAGAATTGGAGTTCTGATGGGGGGAAATCAGTGGAAGGAAGTGAGAAAGAAGTAAGGGAAAGGATGGATGAGGAGTGACCAAGGGGAAGTGAGCTTGCAGGAGAATGAGCAGATGTGGGTTAGATAAGGGGGTAAGTGAGAAAGGTGCAGGACTGTGAGTAGAACTGAGATGTCTGAGCGAGGATTATAAATGGAGGAGGGGTGCCGGGACATGTGAGCAGCAGTAGTGAGCAAGAAAAGGCGAGTGGCCAGCAGGCAGTGTGGGTTCCTGGCTGCAGTGAGTGAGTCATGACATACAGGACTATGAGCAGGTAAACACCAGGTCTCGAAAACACAACTGGCTGGATTTTGAGCAGTAAGATTGCATGTCCTGGCTCAAATAAAGGTAAGAAATACATCAGAGCTCAGTTTTGGTTCCCTAGCCTGCTAGCAGGTACTGCCCAACAAAACCAAATGAGGCTAAGGAAGGAGGTACGGGTGGCAGAAGTGAAGCCTACCCAAACAAGAGAGCAAGTCCAGAGACAGGACTGGGCTTCAACAAAGGCCCAGAAATCAACTGCAATTCATCTAAATTCTTAATTCATCTAAAGTCTTGATTGGACCTCACTTACCATGGAAAGTAGGCCTGGAGCTGAGTGTCTGAGTTTAAAATTTTCATCTGCAAATGGCCCTCGGTAAATACTGGCAACTCCAGTGCCATCTCCCTGAGTAGAGAGAAGGGAAGTGTTAGCAGCCTGGAGTGAAGGAAACCAAAGCCTAGCTGTTATACCTACAGCCTAGTTTCTTTACAGCCTAGTTTCTTTAACGTCTATGTTGGAGCCAGGCATGGTAGTTGTCCATCTGTAATCCCAGTTACTCTGGAGACTGAGATAGGAGAAGCCCAAGTTCAAGACCAGCTGGACAATTTAGTGAGATCCTACTTCAAAATAACATAAGGACTAGGGACGTAGTTCAGTGATAGAGCATATGGCTAGTATGTATGAGACCCTGAATTTAATCCCCAATACTGCCCCACTCAAGCCTATTCTGTTACTAATTACCTCTAAAACCACACCTCTTTGGTCCTATCATGCAATCAAAGCAAGACCCATGCAAGGCACCTACAAGCCCAAACATTGGCAGGGCCTGGCACCGACTCGATAATAGAGAAACAGTGGTATTTCTAGAAATGTCAGTTAAGACAGATGAAGTAGGGAACAAAAGAGCAGTGATCACATATACAATCCTTGACATTCCCAAAGACCCTCATTTCTTTCTTTCTTTCTGTTTTTTTTTTGTACTGGGGATTGAACTCAGGACCTTGCAATTTCAAGATGGGCCCAGCGCCACTGAGCTAAATCCCTGCCCCGACCCTCATTTCTATAGTACATAAAAGTACCCACTCAAGTGACTGCCACCCTACTCCTCCAAACTGTCAAGCCCTCGACAGTCTTGTCTCAACATTATACCATCCTCTTGGCAAAGCTGACTTGACCAGGGAAGAATACCTAACTCACATTGAGCCAGCTAGAATCCCTTTTCTAGGAATCTGGAAATAGGACAGATGCTCCCTCTGAGGTTGAATTTGTATCATGTGAAACTAGAAGCTGGAGGTGACTATCTTCCACAAGGTAGACTCGAGGACAGAAAGAGAACATAGCACAGATGTGTAGAGAACAACAAAGAAAAGAACTACCTTGGTTCTTTGTGGCTTTCTAGTTCCTGGTTCTATTTCTTCTTTTGGCTCCATGAAACACCCACCTTATCCCACATTTCTGCTTAAACTAGCTTTATTTTCATTATTTCTTTGCTCTCCCAACAACCCTATGTAATAAGCAGTATCATCTTCCCTGCTTGTTGGATGAGCAAACTGAAGTCTGGGTAATAAAGCAACTTGTTCAAGGACTTAAACAGAATCTCTGAGGTCAGAATCTCTCCTCATCAAACTTAGCTATTGTTCTGAAGACCTCCTGTAGGAAAACTAATGGCAGCAGCAGTAACAACAAAAAACTAAACCTATACGGGTCTTTGATCGGAGGGAATAGTACTTACATTAACAAAATCTCCACCCTGAATCATGAAATCCTTTATGACCCTGAAAGAGAGAGCAAAGGATCATTTTTTTTTTTTTGAGAGCAAAGGATCTTGAGGGATTAAGAATTAAGAAAAATACTGACTTAGTCACTGTAGTGTTAGATTCATACTGATTCTTTTTTTTTTCTCCTGATTCTAAAATACAGTGTTTAGCACCTTGTCTTACAGAATAATTATTTTTTCCTGGAACAAGTCAGCTAAAAAGATTACTAATCATAAAAACAGGCTTTCATTATAAATAGGGCATCTTAAAGTTAACGTAAATGCATGATCTGGTATCTGAACAATAATAAGAGGAAGGGGCTTCCTGCAGGAAGTACTGAAATACTCACCAAGGCCCAAGGGCTTAATGTAAATTTTGAGGAAAAGTACAGAGAATGTATGTGAAATGAACTGTACATAAGGGCTCAATAACTGTTGGCTAGTTGGGCATGGTAGTGCACACCTGTAATCCCAGCACTCTGAGAGACTGAGGCAGGAGGATGGCTGCAAGTTCAAAGCCAGTCTGGGGTACACAGTGAATTCAAGGCTGGCCAGAACTATGTAGTGAGACATTGTCTCAAAACAAAACAAGACACCTGTTCGTTATTACATAGGGTCCTTAGCTTTTCTTAGCCTCAGGTTCCTCCTCTATAGAATGTAGATAATGTCTATTACCTTACAGGAGGGTTGCTGAGGATTAGGGACCATAACTCTGAAGTTCTTGATAGTTATATGACAGTTTTCAGAATCAAAACAGAGTTGCTGTGTCAACCCTAACAAAAATGAATAAACTCAGAGGTTATGAAGGAAGTGTTCTCACAGATGACTGCCTGATAACAGTAGCTATCATAAGAGTCTGCCAGACCCACAACCTTACACAAAGGCTACTGCTACTTCACATAAAATATACTTCATGTGAAGACATCTGCCCAGCAACCAGTTGTCAATTTCAGACTAGAGCTACCCCTGTTATTGATCCTTGTAGCTAAGGATTATTTTCAAAACATCTTATATAATCTTCTCCATTTTTGCCTTTAAAAATTTCTTGCCTCAACCTCCTTAAATATGCAGTTTATTATGGCACATGTGTTCACATTGCAATGTCTTGTTATTCCCCCCCCAAAATCATTATTCTTTGGAGAATTTTTTTTATTTAAGTTGACAATTATATGCTAACATCATTACTACCACAGTGAGACCATAGGGCAGATTCTATATTAAAATGAGACTAAATGTAGCTACACTTCCCTTGCAAAGGCCTGAGGAAATGGGACTATCCTTAGATAATCATATTTGGTCATTTTCAGAACTAGGTATAATTGCTGGGCATGGTGGCATATGTAACTCTAGCACTTGGGAGGCTGAGGAAGGAGGATTGCCCTGAGTTCAAGATCAGCTTGAAGTACATAGTGAGATCCTGTCTCAAAAAACTAAAACAACAACAACAACAAACTAGGTAACAATGAGCAGTAACAGTGAGCAGGATATATTACATGCACTTAAGGACTACAAGTGTATTTTTTTAAAAAAACCTACATTTGGGCTGGGGATTTAGCTCAGTGGTTCTGGCGCCTGCCTCGAAAGCGCAAGTTCCCGAGTTCAATCCCCGGTATAAAAACAAAAACAAAAACCTACATTCACAAAAACAAGCATGAAAAGGACAGGATATTGGAATAGTTAAGTAGTTTCTTTCTGTTTTAAATACATAAGATAAACTAGTAGGGGAGTACAAGTAGGGTTAGAACAATTAATAAATCTTCAAATCAGTTGTCTGTAAAAACATTTCTTATTGAGATCTAAGAATTAACCTGTGGTTTTACTTTCTTTCTTTCATACACTCATTCATTCATTTATTTATCTGGTTTTGTGAAACAGGGTCTCCGTATATAGTTCAGGCTGGTCTTGAACCCACTATGAGGCCCAGGCTGGCCTCAAACTGGTGGCAGTCCTCCTGCCTCAGTCTCCCCAGTGCAGCATTACAGATGTGCCCCACCATGCCCAGCTTGCTTTTCTTTTTTTTGGTGCCAGAATCAAACTCATGACCTTGTGCTTGTGAGGCAGACGCAGTGTCACTGAGCTAAATCCCTGGCCCCAACTTTTACTTTCTTTTAAAGAGCCTAATTCCCCAAAGGAGTACAGTTGACCATCCATATCCACAGGTTCCCTATCCTTGCAACCAACTGCAAATCAAAAATATTCAGGGAATCTCTACTGAACAGGCACAAACCCTTTATTCTTGTCATTATTCCCACAGTACAGTATACCAACTATTTACATAGCAGTTATAGTGGGTTAAGTATTATAAGCAATCTAGAGACGATCAGTAGGATACAGGAGGATGTGCAAATGTTTTTGTTCTTTAGGATACAGGAAGATGTGCAAATATATATAAATGTGTATATATATATACACATTTATATATATTTTATGGTGCTGGGGATGAAACCCAGGTCTTATGAGTCCCAAGCCAAGTGCTCTACCATGAAACACCCACCCCAACTGTGGCATTTTAAATAAAAGACTTAAGCATTCACAGATTTTGGTATTGGTGGGGGATCTGGTAGCAATCCCTATAGCTACCAAGGGATGATTGTATTCTGAAAGCCCTAGAATGGCTTGTAAGAAGCCTTACCTGTGGAAGGTGCTTCCTTTATATCCTATTGGAACCCCATCTTTTCTATAACCAAAAAGAAAGAGACTTGGAATAATGACAGGTAATCACAGGCCTTTCTAGTTTACAACACACTGGAGTCAAAGGGACTCTCCTAAAGGTGATGGGGGGCGGGGAGAGATAAGAGAAAGTAAGTGAATTATGAGTAGACTCCTGGAGTAACAGACCAGCCCATGGTTCGCGAACACTCCTCAGGAGCAGGCAGAGAAGTCAAACACATCGGTGACTGACCTGAATTCTCCAGTGCAGAACTGCCTAAAAAAGAAGAGTGCACGAGTCAGTTGTCATGACGTTCCAGCTGCGAACACCTTCAATCTCAAGACAATAGGGGCTACAGGCACTGAAGCCTGAAGCCTACTAACCAGTCAGTCAGATGTCAAAATACCCAGGCATACAGACTAACAAGTTGACACGGGAAAAACAAAAAAGCCGGTAACCATTCACACGAAGTAATATCCAGATCTCAAGAGCAGTGAATGGACGACTCTGCAGACTGAACGGTCTGGGTTCTGGCTCAGCTTATTCCAGCACAGGTAGGACATCTCCTTACCTGAAGTTCTCGGCTGTCTTGGGCACGACATCTGCAAACAGCTCGATCTTCATGCGGCCAACTTCCTGTAAACGGCAGGAGACAGTCAAAAGACTCAGTCCACGCCTTTGAAGGGCTTACGGAGCTTGGAGCAAGACGGGCTGCTCCACCTCCAAGGCCTCTCGGACCTTCCACCTCCGTTTCCCTTGCCTAACTCTTCGTTCTGCCCAGTCCCTTCAGAAGCCGAGCGCTAAGACTCAGACTGGGACAAACTCTTCCTCCCCCTTGCTCCCTCCAGCCAGGCATGTCAGTAGGCTCAGGTGTAGTTTCACTTTCTGGCTTCCAGATTCCCCTCTCCTTGGGATGAGTTCATCCTGGCCAGCCCCCTGCATTTTCTCTTCCGCGGAGGTCTGGCTGGCCGCCGTATCTCACCTGGCCACCGATGCTAACATCAAAGAACACCACGGGATTGACGGGGCTTGAATTTGCCACCGCCATGGCTCTGACCCGGAAGCACAATTCAGGTTCCGGTGACCATAACCCAGCTCGGCGGCGGCGGCGGCGGCGGCGGCGGCGGACGGGGGCGGGGGGCGGTTTGGCAGGTCCACGGCGCAGACGCAGTAGGAGCCAACCGAGCCCGGGCCCCGGTCCCTGAAGCACCGCCTCTGACGCTAGGCGCACTCCCGCCGGCTCCCCAGAGCTGAGAGATCTCGCCGGGAAGAAGCGAGGAGGAGGGGGAGGAGGTGTGGGGCTGGAAAAGGATGGGAGCGAGGAGGAGGCAAGTGTAGGTGTCTTTTTGGTACAAGTTGACGGGCATCCAGCTCATATGGCTGTATTAGTTGCAGTACAAATTAATTTTTCTTCGGTAGGGCGTTTGGACTGTCTCGAAGGTGCTTAGCCCTTGAAGCCAGGGCTTCAGAACCGTCACATGTAGTTTTTAAAAAAATTTTTTTAACCTCAGTTCAGGGTGGTGAAACTCAGTGAAGAAAAGACCTCTTTTGTCCATCCGTCAGCATTTAGAACACCATGGCACATAGGCTTGCTCAGTAAGTAACCCTTCCTTGAAGTTAGAACACTAGAATTTTAATTTCAGTTCTGCCACAAGCTTCCAACTCATTTTTCACGGAGCCTTGGCCCATTAAAGTATCCTCGTGCTTATAAATCACACCTGGTTTCCCCACCCTAAATGCGTAAAGCTGGCCGCTGGCTACCTGTCTCTTCCTGTACCACTCCCCATCAGTTACTGTGGTCTGCCTTTCTGTTCCTTGAAAAATTAAATCTCTGCAGGCCCTTGGTACCAGTACTAGTTGTTACTTATCCAAAATATTCTTACATATCTTAACGGGGAAAGGGGCTTGCTCCTGTTACCGGGTTTTGCGGTGCTGCAATCTCCTTTTAGAGATGGTTTCTAGCTTCTTTTTATCCTGAACAAAGAATTGGTCAATACAAGCACAAATGGTAGCAAGCTTTCACATTTATTAAAAGTAGGGGAGGGGCCGGGGATTTAGCGCAGTGGTTCCGGCGCCTGCCGCGCAAGCGCAAGGTCCCGAGTTCGATCTCCGGTACAAAAAAAAAAAAA